GTGGTCACACCCGTGAGCAACGTATGCTGAAAGGGACCTGGTGTACGCCTGAACTACAGAAAGCCGTGGAAAAGGGGTACCAAATACAGAAAATCCATGAAGTGTGGCACTTTCCCGAGGAAAATCGCCGCGAAGGTCTTTTCGCTCGCTACGTGAATACCTGGTTGAAGCTTAAACAGGAGAGCGCCGGATGGCCCGCGGGTGTGGAAACCCCAGAGCAGAAAGCAGAGTACGTAAAGAAGTATGAAGAACACGAGGGGATTAAGCTGGATCCTGAAAAGATTGCTGTGAATCCGGGCAGAAAAAGCATTGCGAAATTACTTTTGAACAGGTAACTAGTTATATTAAATTGTTTAAGTTGCAGTCAAAGTCTACACTTAAGAAAAATTAGTTGCAGTGTTTTACCGCAAATATCATTTCGTGAAATGTTTGCTACGGTGCAATGGTCTATGCACGCTACAATTAAAAAATTACAGTGTTTTGTATGGAAATTATGTTGAAAAAGTCTGCATTTTAAAAATTTAACATGCAGTGTTTTACTGTATTTTTCAGTATGCGAAATGTTTACTACTGTGCAAACGAAGATGCACGATCGAAAAATTATAATCTGCGGACCGCGCAGAAAACAATAACATTACTTTTTTCTTTTTCAGCTTATGGGGGAAATTTGGTGAGCGACAGAACAAGCCTATGACGCACTGCATCACCCAACTCTCACAGTTGTTTCAGCTGCTAGAAGACCCGGTGAATGAGATTCACAGTGTACGTATCTGCTCCGAAGATGTGATGGTGTTGGTGGTCACTAAAAACGAAGACGAATACCAGCGTTCGTTCAAGCAAAACGTCTTCATCGCGGCCTTCACGACTTCGCTGGCTCCCCTCAAGCTTTACGATGCCCTTGATTTTTTAGGTGACTGAGTCTTGTATTACGATACAGACTCGGTCATTTATAAAACCAAGCGGGGTCAAGACAAGCTCCCGCTGGGAGATTTTTTGGGACAATTCACGGACGAGATTGACGGCGACGTGATCGTGGAATTTTGCAGTGGCGGGGCGAAAAACTATGGCTACTTGACGAAGAAAGGTAAAGTCGAATGTAAAGTACGTGGGTTTTCGCTCAATTATGAGACGAAACAAATCTTGAATTACTACTCGATGAAAGAAAACATCCTCAAAGAATTGGACGAACCCTTGCAAAAAGCGCGCGCCATTCCCGATTTTTCCCAAAGAGATCAAGTGACCAAGAAAATCAAGCTCACGGAACGTAAAAAACATTATCAACTGGTGTTTGATAAACGCGTGATTGACCCCGCCACTCGCTCTTCTACGCCGTATGGATACAATTGGTTTGGAGCAGAGGTGGAACTGTTAATGGATTTGTAAAAATAGTGCGGGTACGGTAGCTTGGAAGCGCGAACCTGCTTTTAGCTTTTGTATGTAGTTTTTATAGGGGTACAGTAGCTTGGAAGCGCGAACCCCTTGCATGCTTTGTTTTTGAAATTAAATTAGGGTTTGTAACATTTCATCAAAGGGAGGTGAGATGATGTAATAAACTAAGTTCGCGACACAATGGATTAGTGTGGTTTCTGTTTTTTTATAAATAGAGGGCGGTATGGTTAGTCAAATTACTTGTCGTAAGATGTCGAACATTTATTTGACCCTCGTAAGCGATGTCACCAAAAAATACACAAGTAATGTGGCCAATCAGTTTAAAGTCAAACCTCAGTTAAGATTACCCGGGGAAGGATGGAAAGTGTCAGTGGCTGGAGCTATTTTACCAAAAATGCCTTTGTTCAAAGAATTACAAAGTGCGAACGTAAATTTAATCGAATTATGGGGTGAAACTGAAAAAGCAGGATGGGACACTAGTTCAATTTCAATCGGATAGTCAGTGCGTGATTCGACTGCATTTTAAGAAAGAATAAGACACAATTCAATTGTAACAACAAATATTTATTAAGTGAATAAAAAAACAAACAGAATTACAGCTTAAGTTTGCGTTTTGTCTGCATAATGGTTTGACGATCCGTTCTTGTTTGGTTTTCTTCCCTGGGAGGTTTTTAATAGCGCGTATCATTTTATCGTCCGCTTTCCACTTGTCCTTTAAACTTTTCGCTTTGGAATAATCGATGTCATGGATTTTCGCTAATTCGTCTAATCTATTGACGCCTCGGTCACCCCTCTTCAGTCTTTGTTGAAGCCGGGTCCCTGAACCAAGGTAATTTGCTTTAGGCCAATGAAACTCTTTGCCTGTTTTTTCAATTAATTTTTGAATTTCCAACGCAGCTCCACGCTGACCACGCTTTTTTCCTTTTTGCGGTCTTTTTCTGCGAACCTTACTTTTACCAGTCTTTGCCATGTAATCGTCTTTTTGTCGGTGTCCCAAACGGTTTCCAACCTGCAGCAGGGGCGAGTTTCTTTAAAGCTCTTTCTTTAGCCCTTTTAGCAGCTCTTTTTGATGCCTCGGCAAATTTTTTTCCAATACTCTCCTGAGCTCTTT